TTGATTTGATCAGTGTGTTGAAGGCCTAGGAAAGCGAAGCCCAATTGAGAGATAACCTTACCAGAAACAATCGACGGAATTCAAACTTGCGGCTGTTAAATGACTGATCATTAGGTTCAGGTCGAGGCTGATGTTACTAAAGTTACATGAGCGTTTAAAAAACAGATAAATGTACCCTCCTTCTTGGTAAAAGTTCGGCTACCGTTGAGAGAAATTTAGTAAATAACTAGAGCTAGCCCGCAGATAAATACAATTCCACCGATGAGCCAAGACCAGGGCAAGCAATAAGCTACAAGTCCTTTTCCATAAATTCCACCTTAACCCATCCTTATTCATGATCACCAAACCCCGTATCGCGTTGGCGAGCAACCCCACCAAAATCAATAATTCATCACCCTACTGTTAACGCCAGACCCCTTGAGACCCTAATTTTTCGCGATTATTTTTAAATGCGTGGAAGAATTTCAACCAAGCTCAGGACATGGCCGTTTCAAGACCTGCCGAAACTTTTACAATTTAGATATTTTGTCGCCATTTCAATATTTCAGGCACTTCTCATTGACTCGTAATGTTAAATTTCGAGCAAGATTTTCACCCGGTGTGTAGAGGCTATCACCAGTCAGTCTGTGATACGTTATGACGTCAAAGCTAAACCCCACCTCTGTGGTCTTGGCCTGCGGCGGTTTCGGGCCGGCGCGCGGTCACTCGCGCTGTGGCGGGGAGCGGAGACGGTCGAGCGGTGCCGAAAGCCGGCGGAGTTGTGCGTAACGTCTTGTCTGACAGTGCCCAAAGAGCGACATGATGACTGAGGAGCCATAAACGCTCAATGCGCATTGTTTGTACAATGCTGATAGGTTCGCTGATATTTGTTTTATTTTTCATAAGCTGCAAATGACGGGCAGATGGCATACTCGTATACCTGACATAAGGTTAGGAAATATTCACCTGTATTTAAAGGTAGTGTGCCACCTTTGAAAGATTTCCCATTTTATTTTTCCTAGGATAAGAAGCTTCTGTTTTTACCTAATATCGCAAAAAAATCAAAAATGGGCCTGGAATAGTGCCTTTTTCGCCTAAAAGTTTATCGGTTTTTCGATATGTATAACAACTGTAGTGGGCTGACCTGCAAACAGGCGTCGGCAACAATCGCGAATGCGGCGCACATGTGACAATAAGCAAAGGTCATTATAGAGATTTGGCTGTCGAACATTATTTATGGTTTGAAATATGATTTTATGTAAAATAATTGATATGAAAAAGCCGTCTCTTAAAGGTAGTGTGCCACCTTTGAAAGATTTCCCATTTTATTTTTCCTAGGATAAGAAGCTTCTGTTTTTACCTAATATCGCAAAAAAATCAAAAATGGGCTTGGAATAGTGCCTTTTTCGCCTAAAAGTTTATCGGTTTTTCGATATGTATGACAACTGTAGTGGGCTGGCCTGCAAACAGGCGTCGGCAACAATCGCGAATGCGGCGCACATGTGACAATAAGCAAAGGTCATTATAGAGTTACGACGTACGGGAATGAGTTATCAGTTGTCTAATCGTAGACAGCACAATGTTTAGCCGTAAACTGTAAGCCTGTATTGGTATTGTTTCTTTTATTTGGCTGTTGAACATTATTTATGGTTTGAAATATGATTTTATGTAAAATAATTGATATGAAAAAGCCGTCTCTTAAGTTATGACCCCATTTCACCACACGCAAGTGGCAGAAATGACAATGATCAGCTGACGAATTTTTCTTGGCCGAAGTCAGAGCGCGCGGCCCGACGCACCACCACCACACCACAAAGTATGAGCAGAAGCCGCGCCCAAAGCCAGGGCCCCGGTAACGTGAGGTAGCCGAGTCGGGGCAGCGTGCGCTGACCCAAGCCAGGGCCGCAGCTTTGGGCGCGGTCTACCGCATCCCCGCGGGCAGCCCCGGGCTATCACATGACACCGGGAGGACGCGCGGCCCCGGCTTGGGTCAGCGCGCACGCTGCCCCGACTCGGTTACCTCACGTTACCGGGGCCCTGGCTTTGGGCGCGGTCTACCGCACCACCTAACAGGCGTCTTCGAAACCGCAGGAGATGATGATGAACGGGTTTATCGAAACTTGATTGGATGAGCATATCGGTAATAGCGATTTCAGTGTGTGCATTTATTGTTCATAGTGGTGTGAAATGTGGTTGGGGTACGACCGACAACCCGTCGGGGCGAATTTCGCACTGGGGTACTCAAAATCTGAAGAATTTAAGACGTTTCCATGAGTTTTGAAGGTATGGATAAGTTCTAAAAATCCGGTTCTCCTTATCTGGGCCATTAACTCCATACGGTCCAGGAAAGCTGGCACACTATCTTTAAGTTATGACCCCATTTCACCACACGCAAGTGGCAGAAATGACAATGATCAGCTGACGCATTTTTCTTGGCCGAAGTCAGAGCGCGCGGCCCGACGCACCACCACCGCACCACAAAGTATGAGCAGAAGCCGCGCCCAAAGCCAGGGCCCCGGTAACGTGAGGTAGCCGAGTCGGGGCAGCGTGCGCTGACCCAAGCCGGGGCCGCAGCTTTGGGCGCGGTCTACCGCATCCCCGCGGGCAGCCCCGGGCTATCACATGACACCGGGAGGACGCGCGGCCCCGGCTTGGGTCAGCGCACGCTGCCCCGACTCGGCTACCTCACGTTACCGGGGCCCTGGCTTTGGGCGCGGTCTACCGCACCACCTAACAGGCGTGTTCGAAACCGCAGGAGATGATGATGAACGGGTTTATCGAAACTTGATTGGATGAGCATATCGGTAATAGCGATTTCAGTGTGTGCATTTATTGTTCATAGTGGTGTGAAATGTGGTTGGGGTACGACCGACAACCCGTCGGGGCGAATTTCGCACTGGGGTACTCAAAATTTGAAGAATTTAAGACGTTTCCATGAGTTTTGAAGGCATGGATAAGTTCTAAAAATCCGGTTCTCCTTAGCTGGGCCATTAACTCCATACGGTCCAGGAAAGCTGGCACACTACCTTTAAAGCCTATGGCGTTGCATGTGATAATGGGATGTCGGATGTCATCAAGTAGTTGCTGATTTGTACATCGCTATGCAACCATCGAACAACGCAATAATTAGTTAATTGCCTTCGCTTCACATCATAAGGCTCGCTCGTATTTCAAACATATATCTACATCGAAAATCGTATTTGTTAGGAATCTTTAACGTTTGTTCGAAGCATGTGTGAGTAGTAGGTTGAGGAGTGATGTTTCTTCTCTTGGTCCTATATACGAGAGTCAACAAGAGCGTAACATTTACTTGACCGTCTGCTGCAATTTGCATTGATACATAGCACGTGAAGCGTGGGCGAAATTCATAGTCCTTTACAGATGGCAGGGGTGTCGTGTGTACAGAGGTCGCTGATGGGCACGGGTCAATACCGCATTCGTGAGCGGAGCCTAATGTCATATGACGTATGAAAGCCTCTATCCAGGATGAAAAACAGTTAACATTACGAGTCAATGACAAGTGCCACAAATATTTAAATGACAACAAAACGTATTTAAAGAAAAAGTTTCGGCAGGTCTTGAAACAGCTATTTCCTAAATATGGTTGAAATTATTCCACGCATTTAACCCTATTCCTGGCGGGCTCCGCCGGGACAAGAAACTGGCGGGGGGGGGCCGATTCGGCCCCCCCCTGAGATCTCGAGAACGAAGCAAGATAGCGACAAGCGGTAAACGGCATCGGATACGCACGGCCAAGATCTACAATTTTTACTAAGGTCATTTTCAGGTCAGGTCAAAGATGACGTCACAGGGGTCGAAAAAGTCAAAATGGCGGCACTAGATATGGAGAGAGTTTTTCTCGAATAACTTTCGAATTAGTCAAGATAGGAACAAACTAAGGGCATCATCGTGATCCTCTCGTCAATCCGCATCGAATGATATATATGTTGACCTCGAAAGGTCAAGGTCAAAGGTTGACCTCAGGTCACGTGACCTCGAGGTCATCATGTATATCATTCGATGCGTCTTGACGAGCTGAACACAATGAGACCATCCACGCGTCTGTATCTTGTTCCTGTACGGAGTTATTGGCCAAAAACCTTTGGTGACCTTTGATGACGTCACATGACCTCACAGCTGCCCAACAGCAAAACAGACCTCAAGGTAGTGAAGGTTGATCGTATATGAAGTCATGTATGGTATATGGGGCCATTCCGACCCGTTTTAGTGGTAAAAACAGGGAGTTGATTTTTCCCCCATTGACTTATAATGGGGAGGTCGCGAAATTGACCTGACCTTAGGTCACCGATATCAAAATTCCGAGATATACAAATTGCACATACTGGTACCCTAACTAAACCCTGAAGAGAAGAAATTGATCAGTCAAAAACTCTAGCTCTGGCGTGATTGCAAACTTTTCTGAGGTAGCGTCACCAAACCGCCTCTGGTGACCTGACCTGAGGTCAGATCAACTCAAAATTTTCAGACATGTTGCGTAGAAGCCTTTTAGGAAAAGTCAGAAAATTTGAGCTTCCTAGCTCAACGCGTTTGGGAGATATAACCAAAAAACCTCAGGGGGGGCTCCTGAGGCCCCCCCCCCCGCCAGGAATAGGGTTAAAAATAATCGCGAAAAATTAGGGTCTCAACGGGTCTGGCGTTAACAGTAATTCATATTCAATGGTCAATGAGCATCCGTTATAGCTTCGTCTAGCCCACACATTGTCAGAAAACCTCCATCTGTCCCATTTCCTACCAATCAGCCTCAGATCATCTCTACCATCCCCAGACCATGCCCCACCAGTCCGGACCCTCCCGGCAGTTCGGTAAGCCTCCGTCGGCGGCGGCCCACTGCACCGTCGCGTCGGTCCGACCGACCGGCCGCGGCGGGTCGGGTCGGCAGGGTGACCCGGGCCGTCGCCAGGTCACGCCGGTAACGCTCGTCACACGGTGCCGGTGCTGCTGTGACGCGATCAATAGCCGGTGTGTTTTAGTTACGCGCCGCCGCCGGGTAACGGCCGGTCAACAGAGGTGGCGCGCGGCCCGTGCGGCAGCGAGCGGAACGGCCGGCGAGCTGCCGCGGCCCGTGAGCGCCCCCCGGTCGGCAGCCGAGCGCCACCCTCCACCATGGCCGGCCGCCCACTGAGCACCGTGCTCGGCCTGCTGGCGCTGGCCGCCCTCGGTGAGTACAGCAGGGCCGGGCGGGTCGGCTTCTGCCCGCCAGAGGTATCACTAGTCCGTCAAGAGTCACCCATGTCCGCCAGAGGTATCACTAGTCCGTCAAGAGTCACCCTTGTCCGTCAGAGGTATCACTATGTAGTCCGTCAAGAGTCACCCTTGTCCGCCAGAGGTATCACTAGTCCGTCAAGAGTTACCCTTGTCCGCCAGAGGTATCACTAGTCCGTCAAGAGTCACCCTTGTCCGCCAGAGGTATCACTAGTCCGTCTAGAGTCACCCCTGTCCGTCAGAGGTTATCCCACCCCTTAGAGGTGTTATCTCTGTATGCTACACGAATGAATAATCGTAAATGCAAGGCTACTCTTAAGAATGAACCGACACCAGCTTCCCAGGGAATTTCTGGCCAGTGCTACTCATTTATGAGCGTCTGCAACTTCCCAAATATGCCGCTTTATTCATCTGAGAAAGCTTGCATACTAGGCTAATTAACATTTGTCAACTATAAGGCTTCGCCAAGAATCTTCGCGTGCAGGCATTGCTCAACAGCATAGAGGTAAAGTGTAAACACCTGTCATTCAAGCCCAGTAGAAACCTGGCCAACTCTCCATCCTTCAATGGCTTCGTTTTTCAACAATTCACCAAGGATCCACGGACAAACGCCACAATATTCGGCACTGAAATTCGCTGCTAACTCGGCACAAAGCCAGCCACTAACTCGGCAGTTCACCCAACACTAACACGGTGCACCGTCAGGAACTGTCCGTTACTGGAACTGACAGCGCCGGAGATGACCGGACAAATGAAGCATAATTATCCCCTCGAGACACACATCTATTGGCACGCCAAAGTCGATTCCAAAGAGCCTGACGGGCCGAAGTTCGCAGTGGTAGTGAGGCACTGCAGAAGCCGTAGCTACTGAGCTGCTGAACTGAGCTGAGCCTCAGCGTTCCAACAGCCACAGACGGATATCCAGCACTTCAAAGAGCGTAAATACAATCACGTGGGGATAGCTAGCAGCAGAAAGAGGTCAAGTGAGAGCTAGTCCCCATTCACTTACAAACTTGGAGAAGACTTTGGACGTTCTATCTCATCCATATCACCGGAGACAAAGAGATTCTCTCACCCACGCACTCCTCCCCCAATGCTGATATTTTTAAACACCGATTGGCCTCGACCAGCTGACATGACCTGGTGCATAACACCTGGTCCGGTTGTTTCGCAGGTCAGTGCCTCAACTGTAATGTGTGCATTCCGCCGCTGGCCGGAGACAAGCCCTCCCAGAAGGAGGCGGAAATCTGGCGAGCCAAAATCGGCCGCACCTTCCCCGGCATGGCAGTGAGTGATATCCAGGTAGGTACGGGTCGAATCTCATGGCACAGGCGACGGGGTGGGATAGCCAACACAGGGTACGTCTGCTGTCGACTTGGTGGAAGAATCAACTCATTTGGAGTGTTGCTACTTTGTGTTGCTTGTTACCAAACTCTGAACAGCCTCTATGCATTTTTGACGTTTAAGAACTGTTTGCGCTGTAACATTACTTACAATTCCAATGTTTTTTACCTTTACTAGCCTCTTATTACCTAATTGTGACTGACTTAAAGGGAGATAATGACCTTTTTCCACAAAATCTGAGTTAGGACCATTTTCTGACAAAACACAACAAGTTATAATGTAAATTAAAACCATTTTGCTCAATTCGGTACCTTGCCGCAAATATCTCAACTTGAAGTCACGTTAGCGGGGAGCGCTGAAAATGACCGTTGAATAAGTACTTACATCACTTTTTGGTACTTGCATGTAAATTTGTAAAATGAGCGTATTCCTTACATTTGATCTTCATCACATCTAGTTAGTTAATGGTCGTCTATAGTGCCTTCAAAAGATATTCATGGTTTGGGGGTGGTTTATGTCTAAATTTACGCAACTATTTTTCCTGTTCATCATCTGACGCCATATGCTGCTATTTTAGTAGCAACGACTCAATTTTGAATCGGTCCCGCCGACTGCACAATAAAAGAAGATAGATACAACACTTTTGCGGCATCACTGAAAAACTTATGCAGTACTGTTTTCAAAATTCTCATAACACCGTTCGACAAACCTGAAGTCTTTTTGAAATAAATATGCTTGTATTTTTCGCTTCAGGCTCTGACGCCAAAATAATGAATTTCGTAGTCGCAATCGCAAGATTTGGCTGCGTTTCTGGCGCATGCCGTTCATTTGTGGCGCAAAATAATACTTGGAAACAAAGAAGAGTAGGCACTATGTACCCCCGAATTAGAATCTAATTAATTCTAAACCGAATTAACTCTAATTCAAATTAGAATCCTTGCAACCAAGCAACGACAAGGCGATAACATAAACAAAAACCCAAGCGTCGCTGTTTGAAACAAAAGCGCCATATACTGCGACTTTTTTATAGAGAAGGACAACGCATTTCGGTGGGTGTTACAAGTACTGCAAGTACTGCTTCTTTTTTGCAAAAATAAAAACCTTTTTCACATACGAAAATGTGCTAGGAAATTTTCATATTTTATAGAAACTACAGTAGAAATAGTATAGATGTCGAGTAATTTTTATTTAAGAAAAAAGAAAGCTCATTATCTCCCTTTAAAGCGACACCAACTTACCGCTCATGGCACGGGCGTAGGAACGTTATGAAAAGTGGGTGGGCCACCCTGTCAAGGGGCCTACTTTCCCAGGGGGCCTCCTATTTTCAGGGGCCTCCAACTTTTGCCTCGTCCTGCTGGCTGCTTTCAAGTATGACCTCCAAATCTAGCTTCTGAGATCGGACAAATGAACCCAGGGGCGTAACCGCTTAAGCGAACAGTGCGGAAAGTCCGCACCATTTTTAAAACTTATTCCCCCTCCGATTTTTTTTAAAGAATCTATTTGCCGCAAACGGCGAATGACCCCTGAAAATCCTTACACAAATGTCTTCCTCGTTTCCCAGGTGCCCCCATTAGCTTCATAGGCGCCCTCTTTGGCATATAAGCGCCCTATGTATAGTCATCAGAGACATCCCTATATGTCCCACAGTCGCCCCGTTGTCGCATACAATGTGCGCTTATCATAGGCGTCTCTCTTTTATGGACACTTGAAGGCGCCTCTCTTTGCCATGCCGGCGCCCCTGTTTCTTATGAATGCACCCCCATGGCATTGATCAATTGATTTGCAGACCTCTATTGCATGTGGACGCCCAAGGCGCCCCTCTTTCGCATTGAGGCGCCCCTATGGGCTTCATAGGCGCCCCTCTATTGCACGTAGGTGCCCTACTGTCTCAGAACCGCTCCCCTTTGGCATTCAGACGCCCATCTTTCGTACGGAGGAGCCGCTGTGGTTCTTAGAGACGGCATGGTGCTCCCAGACGCAGATGGGGCTCTCGGAGTCGACAGTGTGGGACCTTCAGTCGCTGATGGGTGCCCGCCAGATGTGGACCCTCGGAGACGCCGGAATGGGGCCCTCAGAGATGCCGGTATGTGGCCCTTAGAGACACCGGTGTGGAACCCTCAGATACTTCAGTGTGAAGCCCTTACAATTGCTGGTGTGGAGCTATGAATGCGCTGGCTTAACACGCGCAGTGGAAGGGTTGCGAGTACCACGCCCAGTGGAAGGCGGGGGGGGGGGGGGGGGGCGGATGTCGCCCCCCCCCCAAGATCCTCTGCCTAGTGTGAATATAAGGGCTTCCCAGGCCATCAGTCTCAGGGGACTCTTGTGACTGGTGCCGAATTGAGGGACCTCCCAGACCGAAAGTTTTGGGGGTCTCCTGTGGCCAGTATGAATATAGAAGGGCCTCTCAGTCCATCAGTCTCATGGGCCTCTTCTGCCTGGTGTGATTATAAGGGCCTCTCAGGTCATCAGTCTCAGGGGCCTCCTCTGACTACAGTGTAGATGGATAGGCCTCCCAGACCATCAGTCTCAGGGGCCTCTTCTGACAATTGAGGATAGAGGGGCCTCCTCTGACTAATAAGGGTAGGGGGGCTCGGCTAGACCGCCAGTGTCAGGGGCCTATTCTGACTAGTGTAGATGGAGGGGCCTCCCCAGACCAGTGTGGATATTGGGGCCTCCTCAGATTCACTAGGGCCTCTCAGGCCATCAGTCTCAGGGGCTTCAACTGACAAGTATGAACAGAGGGCCTCCTTGGATCCATCACGGCCATTTGGAGTCCGTGCTTGGGGATTCGTGGAACTTTGTTTTACCGAGTTTGTTTATTCTGGAAGGTGACGAAGGACGTCGTCAGACGACGTCCTCTCAAATCGAAACGAGGGGCCTCGAGTAAAAGTGGGTGGGCCAAAACACATGATTGCCCCCCCCCCCCCACCTCGAAAAGTGGGTGGGCACTTGCCCACCTGCCCCCCCCCCTGTTCCTACGCCTATGGCTCATGATCTTAAAGAGACCATCCCACCTTCAAAAAGTTAATGAATTGGCATAAAAGTGGTGTCGCATGGTTCAAACTTCAGATGAAGCAAAAATGAATATCTGCCAAATTTCACTAAAAAATACCAGTAAAACGCCTTTAGGGCGAAGAACGAGCGAGCGAGATAGTGAGCCCTGCACGCGCGGAAGGGCGAGAGGGTACTTCCAACGGGCTTGTGGAAAGCACCCTTCTAACCGGTCGCTAGCGGTGTGCCAAATTTGAACGCAATCGGCCCAGCCGTTCCTGAGATCTGGAAGCGGCATTCTGCACGTGCGCACGTGCAAACGGGGTCCAAAATGACTTTTGCACGGCACCCTACTAACCGGTCCCCAACCCTGTACCAAATTTGAGCGCAATCGGCCCAGCCGTTCTCGAGATCTGGAAACGCCTCCTGCACGTGCGCACGTGCGGTAGCACCCCAACCTTAACACATGCAGATGAATTATCTGATGGAGACCTAACTGTGTACCGAGTTTCAATTCAATCGGCCCAACCGTTGTGCCGTTATTGAGGTTGCAATTTTGGGGTTCTTTAAAAATGTCCAACTTTACCACGCGCCACGTGCGGTGGTTGGCAAGAACGCATGGTGGCCATCACACCACAGAACTTTTACGTCCAAGTGACATTCAGTAAAGATGACCGCTTGTCAATCGGATGTCCCGTTCCTAAGATATTAGCTTTTGAAGAGCGTCCCCACGGCCGGCCGGCCGCTCATACTCAGGATTTTCCCTTAATTCAGCATGAACTCGCTCGCTCGCTGCGCTCGCTCGCTCGCTCGCAATAAATTGGTTTCTGAGACACTAGAAAATTACTTTTGTTTATTTTTCGGAGCCTTCGCTGTTCCTACGACATCATTCGGAAGCAATAATATGGTGTCGTAAAAGTGCGGCACTTGCGGCAGACGTTGCCCGCAAATAGCACATACCACCACCATTGCTTCACAGAGATGTTAGGGTTTTAAAGTCACTTAGATCGTCGCAGACGTCACAAATTCAGAGGGGGCATCCAAATGTATTAGCCCCTCTAAACCCAAAGTGCTGCAACTTCGAAATAAAATATCTCCGAATTAAAGCCTTCCTCGATGTTGTGAGTGCCCAAACCGGTAAGTGCAAGCCAGGGACCCCAATTTGGCTATCTCAACTCAAAACTAATGTTAAGGTGGTATGGTTAATTGATGGTCAATTTAACCGACCCTGTCCCATGTCCACTGACACTACTGACCTCCGGTGACCCTGACCTCCCTCATTGGTGACCCGTGAACGGTTCTGCGCACAGGTCTGCGGCGAGAAGGTCGACCCCAACAAGAAGCCGAAGGAGACGGAAGGCAGCTGTCCCTGGAATACGGACGACGTCGTGTGCCTTAAAATCAAACACGGTAAGACAGCCACGACGGCCTCCCTCTTTCCCTTTCCGCCCATCCATCGGCAGCCCAGCGCGGTGACAGGCCACCCTACCGATAGCCGAATATTAGCACTGCGTGCAGACGTCTACATACCTCACTGACAACTGAGATGTCACTGGAGAACCTCATTTCAATACAGATGCTGAAGCTGTTGAGTCGCCCTGTCAGCTCCTTCTCCCCTTTCGGTGTGAGTGCTGATCGGTGGTCCATGTTCAGTTCCTGTCGACCCACTGATACACCTATAAGGACACGATGTTGACTGTTATCCAGTCTTGTCCCTCGGAGGCTGTGTAGCGACTGTACAGACCCGCGCGCTGACCTGACCCGTGCCGACAGACTCCAGTTGGTACGCGCTCACCTGCGGCCAGATTCCCGCCGACGAGGATCTGTCATGCTACACAGAAGGCGGTTCGTACATCTGCCCGTGTCCCAACAGCTACTGTAATAGCCGCGGCTGGAGGGACGCGGCCAGCTCCACGGCTCTCATCTCGCTCCTCCTCGGCCTCACGCTGGCGGCCGCCTGGTAGAGCACCCCGCCAGACCCCGGGCTGGCCACGGAGGCCGGCCAACGGAGTCAACAGACGGGCTGCGATACGAGAAGCCTACACGAGCAGAGGAGCGGACTGCAAACTAGCGAGCAGCAGCGGTTGTCCAGCTGAGCGGGCGTCGTCGTCGAAATAGCGACGGAGGAGTGATGGCAGAGTGGCGGGATGAGGGAGAGGTACTCGGTGACTCGGTGACTCGATGACTCGGTGACTCGATGACTCGGTGACGTGGTGACGTAGTGAAGCGGTGACCGGCCGGCGGCGCGGAGCGCTCTGGAAGCGCTGAATCCCTGCGGCGGGTTCCCGATCGAACCGGGCCGACCGGCCGTCAGCAGTGGCTACAGCAGTGGCTACAGCAGCTGCAGCAGCAGCTACAGCAGCAGCAGCTACAGCAGCTGCAACAGCAGCTACAGCAGTGGCTACAGCAGCTGCAGCCGAAGTATCGGCGACAGAGGCGCCAGCAGCCAGAGGCGGTGGGCGCAGCGGGGGCCGACACACACCGGGTTACTGCTGCCAACGCGGCGTGCCATCGTCTCTCCAGCGCCGCCACTGTCGCCGACCACCGACACTCCGGAGGAGACCGAGCGGCTCCTCAGAGGTGCGAGAGGACAAAGACTACACAGAGACTAGAGGAACGACTAGCTAACTCAGCATCGAGGACTAGCTTCCTCAGACGAGTGGCCAGACAGCGATTACGTATAGACAATCGGTCCGACCGTGCGCCAGTAACAGAATTGTCCGGCGTCGGCCCCGCGATAGCGCGCCGACGATGGCGCTGACGAACAACGATGACGACGATGACGACGACGACAACCATGAAGACGATGACTCAGGACAGCGCCGTGCACAGTGTCGGGAGAGACGGACTGTGCACGTCATCGGGACGGTCAGAGGGGGTCACAGATCACCGGCTCTGTACCGGAGATCTAACGCCTCCGGCCTCTCTCGGGCGGCTTGCTCAAACGGTACCGACGAGGCCAGTGGACTCAGGAGGCCGCGAGAGACGAGTGCGGTCTAGCAGAGTGCGCGCGGTCAGTTCTTCAATATCACACAGTTCACCAGTGACGAGGAAAGGCGTTAAGTTGTTGTTTCAAAGCCACCGAATCCTTGTGACAACTGAAAGTCCTGAACGCATTTCTCAGTATTCTCTTCTAGTGACAGTAAAAGTTTGCATGTTTCTCGATACGTTATGTGTACTGTTAATCATCATTTTCCTTTTTTTGTCAATACATCAACTTCTGGCTTGAATACGTATGTGTCTGGGTGCATGAATCACCTACCCCTCCCCGCTACATGCTCAACTGGAGCAGGCCTGCTCATTTGCAAACCTAAGTACAAGCGCCGCACTTAGCTCAGCTACCTAGCTATTTCGACCACCATAGCTTAAACTCTTTTGTGTCGACGAGCCGTAATCCGTCGCCACGGTCTTCGTCCGCTCCGTCAGGCCTGTATCGAGCGCCACAGCACGGCCCAAACGGGCCACACTGGAGGAGGGGGCACTGTTGGCGGGGGGAGGGGTCGCAGGGAGTGCGCTGGGGCGGATTCATTACGACTGGTGACCGAGCTTGGTGGCAGTGCAGCGCCTTCGACCATACCAAATCACGGCTACCTGGCAACGACTGCCACGCCGCGCCGTCCTGGGCCAATGACGTAAAACGGTGCACTGACGTCATCAAGTGCAAAGGGTATGCGACACAAACGGGTCATAAATGGCATGAAATATACGTGAAAAGTTCGCAATGCGCGCAATCTAGGTAGTTAACCAAGAGCTGACCGCGGCAGTTAACCCAGAGCGAATAATAATTGGCTTTCTTTCCACATTTACACGGACGACCTAAAGTATAATTTCATTTCACCCGACTTTCCAAAATACCACTGTAATGAACACTGCGCTGGCCGTTGACAGCCGCAAGTAGCCGGGGCAGGTCACCCGGGCTGCTCCAGTGCGACTACGAGTACACGGTGTCTGCGTGGTTCAATCGGGTGAGCTCTCATTTATTAATCACGCTAGGACTACCAAAGTAATGCTACGCCACCTATCAGCACAGAAACGTTGTTTGGGGTGTACACATGCAAAAATAGGACCACCCATTGCTTTAGAATATGCATTGTCATTGATGACGTTTGGATGGACAATGAACGCCGCCATTGACGTGCAATATTAGAATCACGCCGACAATGGTCCGAAGCTTTTTATAAACCCAAATGACCAGTCATCAAGTAAGCTATCAATTACCTAATGTTCATATGACAAATGACCTCACATTGCATACATGCCAAGCTATATTGAATCGATACAACTACTCAATAAAGCCAGGTACCTGCGCATTAGCAACAAAGAATACATTTTTCAAACGCCAGTCATCAATTTCGTCAAGTCCATATCATAAGAGCAACTCGCTTGGCAATACGTGTGCTGACCATAAAAAACGTCCGAGAAAATCATCGTCATTGTCTGGTGAAGTGCTCTCTCTCCACTCATCACACTTCTCTTTTCCACATGACAACACTCCCATTCCGGCTCCACTCCGCAGCAATTACAGTCCCCCAGTCGACATTTGGAGAGGACGGAGCCCATCTCTCCCTGCTCTCAGCCACACCGTTTGACGCACTCTACACATTCATACCACGGAGGTCCGCACAGGCTGCCTGTCGGCGGTCGATACTATAGCAAGGCCTGGGGTACTCACCGTTGAAGAGCACGTCTTGGTAGTGGATGTCGCGTTTAGCCGCGTTCTCCAGCTCCTGCTGTTCCCAGATCTGACGCTGCTGATCGCGACGCTGGTCCTCCGACATCAGCTCCGGAGTCGGCTGTAGGTCAGAGGTCACGTCAGCTCAGGTCACATTACACCATGTGCTTTCTGACATTACAAACCATGTTACTATAACTCAAACTTTTATCAACAAATACCACAACGTCGCACAAAAGACACGACCTTTTCTGTATGAAGCGAACAACTATAAACAGCTCCCTCAATTACTGTACTGCAGTGGTGAGAGCGGAAAAAACCGCTGCTTTCTAAGCTACACACACTGACGCCGATGGATAAACTCTATGCACGCTCCTGTGACACCTCACCTGCTGAGATTCGTCGCCCGTTCTCCGGCTCTCCTGGTCCCGGCGGCGGTACTCGTCCAGGTCACGACGCATCACGGTCCGAGACCGGCCCAGCGAGTCAGTAAACTCCACCCTGAGAGGACGGAAACCACAGTTAATATCACATTGAATAGACACACAGTTGATTCCACAATGATCTTTGTACGCTTGAACCAATAAGCGATGTAACTTCACAATGCTCGGACAGAGAGGTGGTAAATTATACCCTGTATAGGCAGGAAGAGGAGCGGTTAACTCCACTCAGCGTGGAGAGAGGATACATCAGCTCGACACTAAATTTGCATGGGTATACTTAGGCATGATGAAAGAAACAATAATATTTCCAATATTCAAATCATGCGAGGTTAAATTTGAACTAGTAAGTGCTAAAAAACGAGAAACAAACAAGCACTCATCGGCGACAAATGCACGTCGCGTGCCATTCAAAAGCACATTTGTGGTTTAGATTGTGATCTTGATTGATGGATATCCTTGTACAAGCTTAAAATATTTTTAATTTTTAGTTTGTGTGGTAAGACGTAAGACCATCATATTTGACAGTATTACATCACTGAAATATGAAATGCTCGATTCGGAGGCCAGCAAAGGCATGGATTGCAGATTCACCGAGCAACAAATATGCAGCTGTTGTGTGGTTGGCATAGAAAAAATAAAATAATGCACATTGCACAAGCTCAGAATCTGAAAACAAATTCCACCACAGCGTCATTATAGCTGGACCTGGGCCTTGACGACACAAACTGCACAATGGCACATGCATCTGCCAATGAGTAGTGACAATAAAGGAGTTTAATTTGAGGCCATGTATCTTTCCGAACATTCATCTTTGTCACAAACAAACGATTAACCAAGCGTTGATTAGACAAACTGAATCCGTACCCTTACCGCGTAAAGATGTTTCTAAGAAAGTGACGATAAATAATGGTCTGGAGGCTCATTCCTACAGACATAATTAGATATGTTGCCGATAAAACGCCAATGAATCTATTGGAAATATAATAGGTATCAACATCGTTGCCGGGTTTTTACCAAAACTCGGCCGAAACAGTTCACTTGCCTGCCATATAGACTGTGCCGCCGTGCACCCGTGTTATGCGGAACAGTCTAAATATGACTGATGCCCGTCTCCCGGCTTCAAGATTCACGGATCAGTGACGAAAGGCGTCGGCGTTGGTATTTATGCCCCGAAGACATAACTTTAAAACCACATATCTACGTGCATCTTTAGCTTTTTCGCTGACTACACCTACGACTTATGAGGTATTTCTCAAGTATAAATGAGCCAATATTTAAAATAATAATATCGCGGTCCCGACACTTAGAGGTGGCACAAGGTGAATTTTTTGGAACCAGACTCGAACCAGATCAGATTGGACATTGCTAGAACCAGTCAGACCCGGTCTTAGGGAATGTGAACCAGTTGGACCCGTACCTTTAGTCAATGATTACAAATTATTTGCAGGTATCATTAATTGCATCAAGTAAAACAGGCTTTTTCAACTGGCAATAGTTATAAGCTACAGTGTGCATGGTGTGTTTATGGTAGTACCCAGTTGGACCCGTCAGAAAATTTCCATGAACCAGTCTGGACCCATATGGGTTCAGAATGGTTCTATGGGCCGGGTCCTCGGGTCCACATTTTGCCACCTCCAGTGACAATATCCGAGCAACCCGTGACATTGATCAGCTATGAATACAGTGAAAAGGCAAAATCACGTATTGTTCGATCCCATTAAAACGGCAATTTCCAATCATAACGTTTATGTAGCCCCGGTGGTTACTGGTTAGCCAAGCCGCAAGCATATACGTACATGACACTGGCAAGCTAACGCCAGTGGCCCCACTCCCCAGCCAGGAAATGCCCGGTCGATACGCACGTGTAGGCACAGCCTTGTGTGTCAGTCAGCTCACTTAAAAGCCTGCAGCGAACCATCTATCATTATTCACTTTTTAGTTGCCCGCATTCTGACAACAAACACTCAACCTATAAAGGTAGTGGTAACGCCACACGGAGTTCATAGAAACCTTTCATACATCACTTTGCGTCACCGTGATAACCAAAAAATAGAAATACACAGTACACACAATTACCCATCCAGCCTCAGCAATAACATATGCTATTTTTCCTGCAATGAGCAGCTGCCGTAGGTCAAACACACATGGAGCTTGACATACAGCATTTAACAAAAGCCTGTCTCACATCACCCACTTTTGGCAAATTTAACAAATATATTTCTTAAAGCGGTGGATTGTTCATTGTTCAATGCAAAACTCAAATATCGTCCGACCCGATCCACCCTGGATAGCCGCAGGTGGAATTTTATCTGAACATGAGTGCGTCGCCACCAAACAGTGAAAAGGCTACCGCTGAGGCCGACTTGGGTCGGCGGCTAACAGAATCAGCGAACCTGATTTTGATAATGATGACAGATACTTCATTGGTGTTTCATGTTTAACCGTGTGCGACACCAGGCGGGCTATTGTCAATAAATAACTCACTAACTCAGCCATAGCTCAGCTATCGAGAAAAGGTCTTTACTGATTTCAACACCATTAACTTAATCATTTCGAAACCATCAAGTGCATGATTCTCAAACCATCAAGCTAACAACTTTAACACCATCACTCCAATGCAATCATGACGTCTAGACTACCGCAGCGATAAAGTTTCCGACCAAAGCCAGGTGTCCGTGCCGATTTGGAAACGAGGTCGGCAGTCTGGTGTCTGGGCCGACCCGGCAATAATGCAAGTAAAAGCAGCCGTCGACGGTGGGCCGACCCCAGGCACCAGCGCGAGCCGGTAGGGTCCGAGCTTGTTGACGTAAGTGCTTGCCACGCTCGATTTAGCTAACCAGACAATCGACACATGCAGGCTGCAAGCAGCCGACAAAACAGAAACAAAACAATGACGAGGCTGGCGGCACTCGAATATTAATGAGGAAGAAATGGTAATGCCATTGAAACTGAGTCGGAAAAGTCCGGGTGCTTTTAAAGTTTGAAAGGATAAGTAAATACACCTAACCGGACTCAGATGAAGCACGCAGTACCGGTAGCATAATAAAAAAGAAAAACAAGGGCACAGTTATTCTCGGGTGATCATTTAATTTCATATGTTTTAACTCTTTTTGAG